TTAATTATAAAAAATAACATGATATCGCAACAAAAGTGTCCGTAATTTAAGCAAATCAATTTTTTCCAAAGAGGCTATGCAACTGAGAATCGCTTCAATTGAAGAAAGGTATAGTTAAGACACGGAGGATACGAAAATAATGCAAACATTGCTTTCATCGCAGGTCTAAAGGCTTCATCGTGGCGCTGATACCACGGCGTAAGTAAACTTTGGTAGCCGACAGGCCTTTTGAAGTTGACACTTGCCTTGTTTACCAGCAATTGCCACTTAACATGGTTTTTGCTCTCACAGGCAAAGCTGGGCATTAGAACTATTAGATTGCATTGTCTAGCAGTGTGTTTTCGTACAAAACCGTGTTTTAGAATACCGACTTAAATTAATTGTATATAGCAATACGTCAATGGATGCAGTAATGGTTTATCTTGTGATTAAACAATGCAGCATCCTCTACTTGACGCAATCATGAAAAGCCCGCAACAAGCATCCCTCGCCCTGCAGTGCTTCGATTTTGGCATCACTGTCTTTCGGATTTTCTCAACCTCATCTTCCGCACAGAAAAGTCTCGCTCTCCAAATACTTTGTGCTGCGCCTGCTTTGTTCATTACCCTATCAATTTCGTAGGCATTAACTGCCAACTTTAAATTTTCACTTATGAGTTTTTACTACCAAAAGGTACATTAACGAAACCTTGAATTCGTGTTAAACATCTGGATTGATTGGTGCGGTTTGCTAGCATACCTCGGATAAGCTTAGAATTCTACAAGCTTAAGTAAATGCTCTTCCTGTTTTTCGACACTTTTGTCATAAATTTATGTTATTACTGAGGCGTTTACTGTTTATCTTCAAGCACAAACTCTATCACAGTATTTTGATTGAAGATTGTACTTGTCGTCAACTGAAATGCTCTGGTTTATCTGCATGGAATAAACATTACTTGACACGAAAATGTCAAAATATTTGGATTCGGTGGAAGCAACTGGACAGCTGCATCCAAAACTAAAGTAGCATCTCTAATTAACTTAATTGTAGTTGATCAAGTAATTGCATTTAAGCAACTTTTCAGTTTAAATCGCACCGGCCAGGAAAGCTCAATCGATTTACTGGAGGGTGTGTGGCAACTCCTATGGATGCATATTAGCACCATTCTGCCTCACTTAAGCAGCCAATTACTTATTTTTATGAAATTTGATTGGACCTTAATCTGTTTGTTTAAAATTCTAATATCTATTTCCTTGGAAAGAGATCTGCTTGATTTTAGGCGTTTTGTTAACCCATGTGACTGTTTTAACCAATCATGGGATTTGAAAAGGCTCATGTGATTTTCAGGTGACTTAGAACCTACAACTATGTAAGGATTTTCTCATATGAAGATATCACAATAATTTTTGTCTTAGTTCAGTCACTTTTCTCATCATGCAGACTAACTTGACTAGGCTGTGATGTTATTTAATTTTATACCCAAGCAGAAAAAAAAACAAAAATCTTTCTTATTATTGTGTTGTTTGGGTTCTCGTGAGCTCGGGTTATAAGCATAACATGTCTTTTCTCTTTCGATTACGTTGGCATACGTTTATATTATTTTCACAAATCTACAGGGTTTTTTCCAAAAATTAAGCATGACAATTACCCCCCAGGACCGTTATAAATAGTTGGGTCACTCGAATTAAAAAACTGTGCCTCGTTGACGCCAGACGTTTAACAAATACCGTCTCAGACACCTGATGGTTCACTACAATGTGGTGGTACTGGATTATATCGTGCGGTCTCATTGTTTAACTGATGAGTCCTACCTATATCCACATTTCAAATTAGTCACGCGTGTTCACGTGTCCCGCATTTAAGGCCTGCAAGCCTTATGCAACTTCTGCTTATATACTGATCTAAATTGAACGGTCAATTTTCAGAGGTCTGTCATGTTAATCACGTGACCAGCCTCACCTGATAGCTCCCTGCCGTCTTAATTTGCTTGAAAGGAGCAAGGCTTCACGTTGTTTACGCGCATACCCACACAATACTGGTTTTGTTTTTGTCATAAGTATTGACTTTCCGATTTTTTTATTCTCTACACGAAGTTACAGTTAAGGGATTACGAAATTTTCTAATTAAAGCATTCTTTTCACTTCTGACTTGTAAAGATTAATTTAAAAGTTGATTATTTTTTTCCATGCATTCAAGTAAGTTGTAGGGAAGCCTCAAGTCAAATTATTCAAATAAGTTGATAGACCTGACAAACGTAATCAAATTGCATAATATGCAGCCACAGTTATTTGTCTCGTATCTGAATTAATCGTCATAGCTTGTGTACACATCAGGGATGAACAATTACACGAGACTAGTCTCTAACAGTGGCGCCACCTGCGTTCAGCTCACTCGAGTGTGCGTTTCTAAACAATCTGGTAGTAAAGGAGAACATTGTAATCACTTTTGTACAAAAGTTGTTCTTAGGTTAGTTGGCAGGTATTTCAGTAGAAAGTTGTACCACTAATTTTTTTAAATGCCTGAAAGTGTCAACCGGGTTTTTACACGAATTAGCAAAAGACGCGTGTTAGGTGTTCATTTGGATGGATGTCAACGCGTTCCAGATGGGCGCTAACTTAAACTGACACTTAGCATGCCAATCTTCTTTCAACTGTTTCCCCTCTCTGAGTTAAAAATTTGCTTGTTTAATAACTTGAGTGTCTAATGTGCTATTCAGAGTTCCAAATGAAAGTATTGATGGTCTCTCCCCAGGCAGAAAAAGCCTCGGAAATGAGCAATGCTAATAGACTTTAGCGCCCGACATAAACACCAAACACCAAATACTGACCCCTGGTCTGTCGACTGGACCAAGTCGGCGCAGAAAGCCGGGTCGTTGCTGTATTTTGCTGCAAACGCCAAGTGTACCGACTGTCTGTGAATAATGTCCGACAAAATCGTGCAACTTATAACAAAGCTAACACGCAACTACGAAAACTTTGGGGCTTCTTTTTTCAAAACTCTTTAGGTAATTATTCAATGGTGGTTTAAGCATGCACGTAAGCATTTTGCGCCGTGGCCAAATGGATGCTCCGCCTCATTAGCAAATGAAATACGAAACTGGCCGAAAGGGGTTGACTTTTGGCAAAACTCATTATGGGAGAGACATGGATTATAAATAAAATCACATCAAAAAAGCATTTATGTTAGTAAATAGGGAACATGCTGATAGGTGGTTTTCAGTCTGCTGTTTTCCTTCAGCCATGGACAAATATCTTTACTAGGCTTTTAACTTTAATCGGAGCAATGAAAAGGACCAGACGATGTTCGAAGTTTGCGCGTGATTCTGTGGCAATTTTTTCCGATACGGTCCTACCAACAGAAAAAATCGCTTTAAGACTTCTAAAATTGCTTAACATAACTAATTACTCGCTTTGGGTGATTTTGAATGCATGAAAAAGCGTAAATATGTTTAAATCCTTTTCTGACACAAACGATATTCTCTTGCAGTATGAAAAATTCTGCAAAATAATTCTTCACGTTTTGAGGAAATGTGAATTAAGTACTTAGCGTCCAACAACGAATGTAATTCATGTAGAAGTCGAGGTTTTGTTAAATCTATCGTTGTCAGCAGAATAATACTCTTAAATTGGTTATTTACAAACAGTCGCTTAAAAAATTGTACCAAACAATAACTAATGCATCCAATAGTTGTTTCTATTAGAATCACAGTTTTTACTGCATGCGTAAAATTTTAAGCGCAACGTATACTTCTGGCCCTGTTTGCTAGTCCGTGCCACCATGAGAAAGGCGTGAAACGAAATAACAGTGGTAGCAGTGGTCGAAATATCGATTTATTTTTACCACAAGCTGACTTTGTTTCAGCTTTAATGTTGGTTTTTGCCCCCCCCCCGTGCAAGTACCTCCTCACCCGAGGCCCAGTCACTGCTTGGCTTTGTTCTAAGCCAACTAGGATAAATGTGCTTTCAGCCGAAAAATAGTTGAGTATAAATGCGCGACTGCGTTAGGGAGGGATTTGGATCGCAGCTGTCACAATTACCGCTACTAAGACCACCCTCCGCAGATTCGTCTCCAAAAGCAAAAACAAAGTACGATTTGGCCGACAAATTGAAAAGCCTTGTAGACATTGTGGGCTTTAACCAAATTTCAATTAAATCCAGGGGCCATGAATAAACAAAGTCATCACAACTGCTTTAACTAGTTTTGGGAGTCAGGACACAAAACGAGAGTATACACTAATTTTTAACTTTAAAATCATTTTACGTTTGATAATTAGTGTTGCTAGAGACGGTACAAAAGCACCAAACGAGTATTTCTCGTTTGAAAGGTCTGATTCCATGACGAAGTACAATAAGATCTGTTGGATGATATTTACCACTGCTTACTGCGCAATCCCGAATGGTTAGAAGGGCTGCCTTCGATCATGGCAAGATTTATTCAAGCTTAGTGTTTGAAATCGCTACCGCAACCTTGAGGCTGATCGGCATTATCCGATTCATTTGCTTGTAAAATAATGCGTGAATTTTTTACTGAAATCGAGCGTTTGGTTGGTCAAAGTTCAATAAACATTAGCCTTCACAAAAAAAAACAAACACGGATTGTTATTTTAACAGAGTGAAAATGTGGATAAAAAGGATTGTGATGTTGTGCACTCGGTTACGTTGTGGCGCATTCATCTCAAACCATTAGGCACATTTGTCGAAATTTAACCAAAGATCATCCTGAGCTAGCTCTCCCAGCACACAAACATGCAACGTAGAAAACTCTCTCAATATGCGCTGCTAAGCCCCTATAATTGCAATAGCCAAACGGTAGTATCACCACCCATTTGGGCACCCAGACAGCGCACTTCGGGAGCCAAAAGCACATGCTACCGCTCCTATCAACCAAACCCTATTTCGGACAACCGTGGAGGTCACCGTGCTCATCGCCAACCTCGGTGGTTCCATCGAACGCGATTCACAGTGCATCATTGGTCATCTTCGTGCGAGAACGCTGGTTTCCTTGTCAGGCACAACTCGAATTCACAGTGCTTTGTTCACAGATGAATTGAATACAAAAGAAGAGCTTGCTTCAAAGGTACGCAGGTGAAGCGGTTGGAGAGGATGCTTTGTGGAGAGGGGATTCAGGGTGGATGCCACGCGGAACGCCCTTTGTCTTCCTTGGTGCCGGCACTCTCCCAGTTCTGCTGGTAAGTGGTCTCTCTCAAAAGATGAAGGGAGGGTGTTGGGACTCAGTTCTGGAGTAGTCGGGGGTTGAGGAGTGTCGGCGTTGTCGTAGTGGAACAACTGGAATTGTGGTTTCCACAGAAAGTGGACAATGACCTAAAACCGACCATGTGAAACTTGCAGTTCATGCCATTTGAGACACAGTGGAGGGTGACTGTTGGAAGATGACTTCGCCAGAGCTAAGGAATCCAAGCTACGCTCTACTGGAACATCCAACTTTTGCAATGTGGGTGAGTCTGAGAGGACACTTGCACGCCTCTTTGTGTCCTTTAGAATGCGTGGCGTGTTTGAACGAGAACTCACTCAGTGGAAACGCGTTGACACAAGCGCACATGCAAATGCTGTGTAGCTTTAAATAGCTACTACTTTAGTGGCGTCTTATACCTTATTAATGTGTCTCTTTGTGAGTTAATTTTGCATTTTTTTGAATTTCCAACATGGTTCTTCGTTTAATCACCTTAGAAAATCAGCTGTATTTTTTCTTAGGGATTATACTGATACAGCCGAAATTTGTGTTTTCTTTTGTGAGATTATGCCTTGCTTTATTTGAATTTACTGGTGCCCCTGCCAAAATTCGTCTTTAAAGACTCGTAATTTTGGCTTCTAGGGTCTTAAATTGGTCTCTCAGATACGTTGCTTTATCAATCAATTTATGGGACCGCATATGCAAAAATATTGGCTCCTCTGACTGCAATTTACAGGAATTACTTCGTGGTAAGACTGATCTGTTAATTGCAGTCTGCTCTATCAACTCATTTTACGACATTCTATTTCCAGTAACATGATTTTTTACTTTAAATTTTTTTTTAACTTTAAAAAAATGTTAACCGATTATTTCGAGAGCAATGTAAAATTATGTGCACTTATAATTAGAACGATTTAAGTAGAACTGAACGCTCTTCTGAGTTCTGCAATTGCTTCTTTTGCATTTTATGACTGAAGGATTGAAGATTATTTTAGTGCGTCCGGTTAAATTCACTTACTTATAATTATCATTTACTGGTTGATCAAATAGCATTTTTATGTTGTTCGATAAGGGTTTGTAGGTTTCTGTCCATGGCAGAATTAATGTGGATACAAATTACGATTTATAACGCCCATCTACTTTCAGCAACTGAAATTGCTAACATTTTAGCTGAAATTGGCGTCAGCATTAAGGCCCTTAAAATGTGTGAATATCACTCTTTGAACGATTTATTCACAGAAAGTTTGTTCGCGTAAACACAGCGATTACGGCTAACTTTTTTAGGGCTGAACAGTCCGTGCGGAATCGTTTATTAATAGTTGTGTTTCATTTCGATGCTCGCGCCTCCTCGTTTACATCAGAAGTTGGTGCTAATTTCGAACAATTCATGTCAATCTGGAAATCTATTTAAAAGTAGTAAACAGATCAGAGGGAAGTTGAACTATCTCTGAAAAATTAACTATCACTAATGCCACTGCACTAAAATTGACGTTTGAGTACGCAAATGCTATAAATTAGCTTCTGATTAATTTACTCTTCGTAAATACTGTCTCTCCTCATCCGGTAATTATAATTTTATTAGCAAAATGTATGAAGACATTTGCTTGAGCTCTCGCATGTCAAATTCTACATTTCTGTTCTTCTACTAACCCTATGAGAATTTTTAAAGACGGTAATTGACTGGTAGCTAGCTCACAAAGGATTGTGCGAAAACTATATGTGGGTTGAACATTTTGAGTCATTTATTTTAAGTCTTGAGAATTAGCAAATGCTAGTCAAACACATTTCATCACACTTGTATTTGCAGTCTCTGATGTGTGAAGCAGTTTTAACCGAATCAGCCCAAATGATCACAACACAGCTGATATTTTTGGAAATCTTTAGTCGTCTCAAGCCTAAATTTTTTCGACCAGATTGTACATCTAGTTTTGATATTATAAAAATTGTTTCGGGCTGCATAGTCCCCATGGTCATTTGTTAAGTTTTTTAACTTTTACACACTTGACACTATAATCGAAGTAAATTAAATGTTGTGGAATACTTTTCGAAAAATTGGGTTTACGGCAAAAACTTTTTCCAAAATTCCACTAAAAAAGTGGCAGTTCGATTTCTCTGTCAAACAGCATTTTGAAATTTTCAGTTAAAGCACTGCTCTTCAAGCATCAACATTGACCTCCATCCAAAATGTTCTCTTTTTGCAATTAAAGCACCCCAGATGAGGGGTTCCAATGTTTACTGGCATAACCGATGTGCTTCATCTTTATCTGCGGTGCTACGAGTTGAAAGCTCAACTGAATTTTAAAATATGGCGCTTCCCGTAACTTCACGGTTTTATTTCATTCACTGGCAATATCCACGCAGGAACATATTTTCTTAACAACATTTTGTTAACTGATAATAAAAGCTGAAAAACAACACGGGCTTTAGCTGCTTCAGCTAAATTTGGCAAAGTGCACCCAATCACATGAATTGCAATTAGAACAGGTTGACCAATTGCACATTTGTGGCTGCTTCCATTCGCGAAGAGTACACAATATTACGGTTGCATGTTGTTTACTAGAAGATGCTAATTGAATTTCACCCTGAAAATTTCCTCACGCCAATTTTAACTTTAATTTTAAGTTATGTAACGCATCTACTTTTGTCTACAAGATATATTCAAGTACCACTAACACATAATCAAATTAAATATTTTCTCTAAATTTAGACAACTTTAAATTTTTCCAGAAACTTTTTCGTGCTTACTACCGTCGATACGTCGTTTAATTTAGGATTTGACCAAACCATGTTGGTTTGCATTTGGAAAATTCTAGCTTGAGTAATTCTGGTAGTAATAAGGAATATCGAAACCAACTAAGAAGAATCCTAAGCATAGTTACCATTTAGCAAATCACACTATCTTTTTTCTGTTAATTAGATTTTTCACGTAAGATGCGATGGCCATATCGGTAGGAATCAGAAGACACACCACCCACCGGTCACGAGAACGATACTTCTTCAATATGCGTTGTCAGCATTATGTACAAATCACGATCTACCTCGATTTTACGCAAATGAACCCGGAATGGGATCGGTTCTAGAATAATCATTGGGTTTTCGCCAAAAATGCTACGACATCAATTAAAGTTTACCTAATAACAGTACATTAAAGAGGAGTTCTCCAGTAATAGGCGCGAAATTTAACCTTAAAAAGATCTGTCCTTTTTCATATCTGATAGTGACTCGAAAGTAAGCCTGTTATTAATTTACCTGCCTCGAGCAAAGAATGCTTTCATCGTGGGTACGCACCCCAAAATAACAACGAATCGCCTGAAGACGTCTTTAAATATGCGATTATATACACGTCATGGACGTTGTTTTCGACTTTGTTACCTTTCGTTATTTCATACGTGCGCATTGTTTATAGTGTGAAGTACGCCAACCACAAAATTTACGAGTTAGTATCAAGTTTTGGAAATCGCATGGCCCTAAAAACCTGTGTTTGGCTCTGACATAGAGAATGCAGCTCCAACTTGATTAAATGTCATTTTCTTTGCATACGCTTTTTGGTTACTTCAGCCAGAACCTCCTGATTATTGAGGTGCTTTGCGACAATCTTTGGGGGTGCAACTCGCAGTTGGTCACGGGAACAAGCTAACCTTCCGTACTATCCTGGTAGGACCATAAAAGACGGAACTACAAGTGTCAAAAGTTGGGCCGTCCTGAAAGACTTATCAAAAACTGTTTTGAGCGGATTGACGACCACGTGACGCAAGGCCGCAAGGAGCGAAGGCGCACGAGTTGGTGTGCCGATCGCTAATTTTCGTTTTGTGAGATCGCGGTCCACGGTGTGGCTGCTGTAAGTTGAAAACTTAATCCACATCTAACCACAACACCGGCGTTCGGTATTTCAAAAGCATCTTGACATGACAGGTAAACAAATAACCTCTACACGAATGCCGATTTACTAAAATTTTAATTCGAAATCCTAAATAAATTGGCAGAAAAAGTAGCATTTATTGATCCGCCTTAAGGGAGTTTCTAACTTGCGGCTGTGCCAAACAGTTTACTACTTTAGGTTACTGGGCCTAGTTTTTCTTGATGGAATATAAGTTAAATTAAATAATTCATAACCAGCGGACAGATGCACTTGCAATGAATTTAAGATAAACTTGATTCCCTTGTTAAACCGGTACCTAAGAAACCCATCGACACACAAATCAGAGATGCCTGTGGAACGTTGCTGCCTATTTACATACGACCTTCTACCAAGCCACCTTCGATCGACGCGTTGCTGGAGGAAGTAGACGAGGCGCCTGAGCTCGCACCGGCACGGCCCCCACAGCCCGCGCTTCGTGTGAAAACAGGCGCGAACATTATTAGGTTGTCAATCACCGAGGTGATGATCCGAGGTTGTACAATTAAGCCGAGACGATGTGCGACCTGATTGTGGTGAGTCGCCATCAAAACGGGCCACGCATACAGACAACTGAATTGTCAAAAATCGGTACTTTATTTTGAAATTTAGACACTCGCAATATTTTTTTTAAAAAATGCAACTACAATTTAATGCTAAGGTGAAGTCAACAATACTAAAGGAAATAAACAAGACTACGTGTTGAAAAAAACAATAACAACGAAAGAAACGTGCACCCGTTCCGTGGAGCATTTTTCAAATTAACAGAAACACTGGCTGCATCCAAAATTGGTTGAATCATTTCATTGCGAAAAAAGTGAATTTCGGTCCTGAAGACGTCTAGCTCCTGCTGCCAGTGCAAGCGATCGGTAGTAGATTGTTGGTCAACATGAACGAGAATTAAAACGCTGAATCGATACTAAATTAATCCGTTTTTGCCTCATCAATAGACCGCAACCGACTCAAGGAAAATTAACACCTGCTAAATTTCTAGCAACTTACGACAGGCCTCTTTAGAGGAGCACATAAAATGTCTGGCCTGTTACTAAATAGAATTGGAAAACAGAACTTGTTGAACTTTTGCGCGGTTTTTATTTTGATTAAAAGATGTGAGGCTTTCGGCCACATAAACATCACCGTTAGGGTCAAGTATGGTGGCTGGAATCGGGTGAGAGATTCCACGTGAAACGCATCTTCCGGGGTGTCGAATATGCACCAAGCGCCCAACAGCACTTGCTATTAAACCACCAGAGTGGATTATAAGAATACAAATATAGCAGTACCCAATGGTTAGCTGCTCATAGTCATTATGGCCCAGATAATCTTGGCTCAAACTCCAGCGAAAAAATCCAAATAAATGCTAGGATGTTTCTCCACCTCAGACATTTACAGGAACAAAATGGGAGGTGAAAATAGTAGTCAGGACATTCGAAAAGCTCGTTAGGCGCGACGGCTGAACAACGGCAGCTCCGCGAATCATTTGGAGAGCCCTAACTTCCGACCAGATTGACTCGCCTTAAATAAGGACCATGTAGCTCGTTTAAATCATTGTTTCACCGCTTCGAGTGACAAAATGCTTCTGGATAAAATTCTGCAGCAAACATTAATCACTAACCAGGTTTCTTGGGCCAAGAAAACTGTCACGAAATTGGCGAGGTCTATTTTATGTAGTGAATGACATGCATAGGAAATTGCTGAAATATTTCATCAGACATAACCCAGCCGGATTTGCGATACTCCCAATTCGATTTCCGGCGTGCTAGTGACAATTCACAAAAAACTGCAGACTAGACTATGTGACTTCTGAGCTTCGAGATGGAAGATCAGGTTAATAGTTCAAAAGTTGAAAACTGCTGACACAACTCTAGACGTAGGAGTATTTGCGTTGCAGGAAGGAGAAATGCGTCATCACTCCAAAAACTGAACAAGGTGAGCGAATCCAATTATGCACACGTGAACTTTGGGCGATAATCGCAATGCAACGTGAGCTACGAAAGTTCGTCATTATTCGAAAAGCCGTAGCTGCTACGTGCTCAGCACTAAAGCAAAGAGCTCATGCCTGTCAATTTCGGAAGATGCTCACTTTAGGACGTGAAGACAAGGTAAAGAGCAACCTCCAACGGAGCGATGTGTCTGTTAAAAAAATTTTTAGCTACCTGTTGAGGCGTTACCTGTACTTCAAAATGTTCATTGATTAGGTAATCACAAGACAGGAAATTACTAAGTTTGCACCTCAAAACAATACAAGAAATCCCAGTGAGGCGGTTAGTCTTAGTCTCATGGTAGTCAACTAATCGCCACCAACTCTGCCACATTCATTCTAGCACTTCTACTATCATACGCTAAACACAAATTTACACTTGTAGAATAAGCAACGAAGTCATACGGAAAAACACAGGTATAGATCCACCCAATTCACAGTTTAGACTATTACGTCAGTTTCCCAAAAAAAATCAATTTTAGGTATTAGCTCCCCCAGAATCATTTCGACTGTTTGATAAAGTTTTAAATTATTGAGATAACACGAGCCATTAATCACAGAAGCACCCATAAGACATAAGCGTGCGCGTTCAACATGTTAAAGTCCGATCAGCCACCGAAGGTGGTAACATCATACAAAACTTTTATTGGTTTGTGATAGCTTCCATACAGACATGACGGTATGTAAAAAAGGAAAAAATCGTGTGAGTGTTAGCATCGCGTGTGAGGAATGTGTCTGATTGTTGCTGCAATCACACGCACACAAAAATAGCAAAAGGCCACTTGTCATAGTCAGCGATGATAATCAGGTGCAATGTTCATTCCTACTGACTTGACTTGTCCACACCCGGTGGCGAGTTGGTCTTAAAGACACCGTTCAAAAAGACACCAGATGACGTCTGTTTGGATGGAGATCCAGGGCCTTCTCCGTCGACCGAGAGTTTGTTGACGGAGAAGGTCCCTCCGCTAGTGGATGAGGGGGTCTGGGTCGCTGAAACCGAATTCAGCGACGAGAAACACGAGACCACAGCGGCTAGTGCGGAGGCATGGTCTGCGGACAAGTCGTGAATGGGGATCGATAGCAGGGCTTGGCGGAGAGCTCGAATCGCACCGAAGACCTTCACAGCCGGGCCCAGTTTGAGCTTAAGTATTGACATCAGGTCGTGCTGTTCCAGACATAGTAGGGCCGGACCATCAATCTCCTAAAAAAGACATTATTCTAAACAAAGGGTTCATTTGCGTCAAAAACTTCGACCGTAACATGCTGTTAATTCAAACGTCCAGAAGCTCAACGCTAAGGTTGGCATTTACATAAGACATTGAATATGGTGAGAAAATCGAGGTGCGTGCGCACCGCTAAAGGAAACATTATGAAGTAAATATGTCGAAATAAAATCAGCAGATTTCAACAAACACAGCCTTACACTGTCGATGAAAGTGGCGGCCAGGTTTTGACACCCAGGAAGAGTGGATATGAACGACCCCACCATTTCGGGGGTCCACACATGGGGGCCGGAGAGGCCAGCAGCTTTTGTCGCGCAAACCGCTGCCTCGGCCTGAGGCAACAGTCGGCCAATCAAACCCGCTTCAAGGCCGCTGTATGCGGAGGGAAGGGGTGAGGACACAACTGACGCCGTCGAACCAGAAATCGCTCCACCGATGAAGGGATTGTTGCAGTATTCCATGAGGACGGGCGCCGAAGCCCTTAACGGTGGTGATGAAGTAGGGAGTGATGAGAGAGGTAGTGACACAGCTGAGCTAATGCTCGTCGCCCCATTGATTGCGTTGGTGTGCCCATTTATGAGCGAAGTTTGGGATGGGTAGGAGACAATTTTTGGGAAAAGTGATGATGCAGAGGGAGTGCGGAACTTCGTCGGCATTATTTCATGATGCTCGTCGGAAGCAGCGATACTTACAGTAACATTAGGAGTAGGAACTTTGTTATCAATTCCATTTATGCCGGTAGGGCTTCCTGCAACATTTGATGAGGAAAGATATGCGGATTTTGGGGGTCGCCCCATTCGCGGTTTCTTGGGAGGCTCCAAAATTGTATGACTGCCGGATTCACTTGAAATAAAAGTGTTCGGGGTTACTGTTGCAAAAGTTGAAGGCAGACTCAGTCTTGAACGTGAAGGGCCGGTGACTTGGGAGGGGAAAGGTCCCATGGTGTATTTGCGAGGACGACCCCGCTTCCGCTTAATTTGGCCAACCGCAGTTGGCAAAAATTTAGTTTCATAATGGTGGTGCTGCGGTTGTTGCTGTGCTTCCGACGGCGAGTGTTTGGTCTCAACACTCCCAGTAACGTCTGTTGGGAGTTGAGTTGACAAATCTGTAGGCTGACTGTCGCCGGACGTTTGCTGGACGGCAAGGGATAAATCGCGAGGCTCCTCTTTGTGCTGTACAGGGATCAGGCCGATGTCAGAGGAACTAAGCATGTCTCCTGAGCTGTAAGGAAACAAAGGCAAGCAGTGATCAAACATGTAAATAATTATATTAAAAGTGTGTTTATTTAAAACGCACGCGCGTGCACGAGCTAATGGGTGCGTGTATGCGTACGCGTTCGTGTATGTCCGAATGGAAGTAGCGTGCTGATTGGTTGAATTCGTCATCTAGACTGGCATTGATCTAAATTTTTGATACGTAAATTGCCTTTGAAATGTTATTTTCAAGCTTAATTTGAGTGACCACAAAACACCTGAATTAGTAAAGGAAACGATACAATAATTCAGAGGCATTAGCTTGTATTGAGAAAATATTAACAAAGAACAGACCGACTGCAATCAACAACAAAAATTGACGACGGCCAGAACTAATTGGAAAAAAATTGGGTCACCTTATCTGAATAAATGCATGGAAATGAGTTCCCGAGGTGACGTAGCAGGTGCATTTAAAAAATTCCACAAAAAAATATTTGCACACTATTCCAAATAATGTCGAAAAAGGTGGTATTTAATGCATCAGACAAATAGTCAAATTCTCTGAATGAGCATGCTGAAAAAAACAAAGGCAGTCCTCAACATTGACAAAACTTGGGCTCCACAAAAGGACCAAATTCTGAGCCACAGAAATTGCACTAACGGTCTAACAGAAAGACCACATAAGAAATTCAAAGAGAGTGCATGATCTGCCCATTTAAAACGTATTGAAAAAAATTTATTTGTAAGAATTAGGAAATTTACGAACAAATAAGTCCGCCAAAAAATCCCCCTCATGAATGAAGATGCAAGGTCACCCACACCCACACTAGGCCACTTAATAAAACATCGTTGAGCTTTGAGTGTACCTTTACCCCCATCCCCAATGGCCACTCAAACCCAACAATCACTCGATCACCTTACACTCAGGCCACTGCGAGACGCCTTGACCTACTGTTGCTGCCAAAATAACAATCGGATCGAGCAGGTTGTCGAAGCAGTAAGTATAAATGAGCCGACCGTGGTTTGCTCTATGACAACACAACATGGTGGACCGTTCAGGAATGATAACGGTGCGTGCGCACGGCGACGATAAGATCCGATTTGGTAAATGGGTCAAATTCAAGGTCTGCGACAACACACTTTCCATCGTACAGACCACGTCAAAGCGGCATCATTTTATGGTGCTAATTTCAAGCGGAAAATTACTTTGATAAACCTACACATTTAACTATCCGATTTATTTTTAAAAAAATCTTGCAAAAAGTGGTTAAATTCAGCACGATGTTGAAGCGTGATCAGAAAAAAATGCTTCGTAAACGTTTATACTGTAAAATGTGACCTTTGTACAGCAAAAGGTACTTCTGAAAACTCCAAAGCCTTTGCACCACTTGACATTACTCAAAGTAATTAAAATCAGGAAATCTGAAGAAAGAAATCAGGGCGACTTTGAAAACCATGAACAATCGAGTTTGAAGGCGTCTGATTGAATGTAAATTTAGATCTACTTTAGGAGAGAGATTGGCGGTGATAAAACTTCCTGCAAAACAACGTTCTAAATCAAGTAATGCAGTTAGCACAAAAATATTATAAATCGCCAACTGCAATAAGCATCAATTTACTGGTGATTAAAAATGCATTGTGACAGAGTCTGGGTATAGCAAAAAAATTTGAGGTCCTATTGGTACGATCTAGTATTGCGAAACTCGTAACACAAACGAACGATTCCAAACTATCACTCAAAAAAATATTGCAAAAATGATTAGCATAAATTTATGGTTAATGATACTGTGTGTAGTAACAAGTGATGAATCTCTACACTACAGAAGCTAGTTACTGCCTATGAAGCAATTATCAATGACTTAAAACATCGTTTTGTCCTTTGCTCTTTCTATCATTTCCCAGAGCTCTAATTAAACTCGGGTAAGTAATTAAAATCTTCAACAAATACATCGGGAAGGAAAAAATGCGAATGAATATTTTAAACAATGTGAATCAAGATTAAGAAAAATATTTCGAAAAATGTGTAGATATGTCAAGTATATTTAGACAGTGAATGTTTGCTCGAAGCTAAATCAAAAGTCAGAAATAAATGGAGCAAATTGACTTACAAATTTTCTTCTTTTATAGCCAGCGCTGGTTGATCTAAAAATAGCAATTTGTTAAAAAAAATATTCCGAAAACAAATGGCTTAAAATCAGTTCAATTTACTTGTTACAATGGAGCAAAATTCACGAAATAAAATTTCGTTTATGGCGGTGCGTGTGCACATCACAAGGTCGTGTGGTGCGTGCGTGCATACTAGCGCATGTTTGGCACACTCGCGTGTATGCACGCTCTCACATATTCACGCACGTACGCACGCACGTCGACTCGAAAGTGCAGGCTAAAAAATCAATCAACGTCCGCACGTCAATCGCTGATTGGATGCGAGTTAAGGCGTGCGTGCGCACAGCTCACACGATAACTGCAGGACAAATGGACCAATCAAAAATTAGCGCATGTTTGAAAACAAAATTTTGGTGCGCTTGGAAAAAAAATAATATACAAGAACTTTTGCGCACCCATGACTTAATGACCGACCGATTATGTTTATGTAGTTTAACAAGCCAATCACAGGGGAAATTAATTCAACGGATGAGAATAATAAAACAATTGGGAGCCTAATAATTAAGTGATAAGAAAAACTAAAAAAAAATAAAATCAAAAAAGAGCATTTAATGTCTAATAGTTTATTCAATAAAAATAGTGACAACATCCGGACATATATTGAAAAGTTGCTACCAGATGCATCCTAGATATCTATCGTTTATAAATACGTTCATGGCATTGATTCACAAATTATCAAAACACCACACACTTGGTTTTAATTTTATCTAAAATTCCTATGAGAGAAATCGACTTTATACATCTTAGTTTCATTTTTAGAATTTTGAGCGCTCAGAGGTGATATATTTTGCAGAAAAATTATTCAATCAAAGGGGCCATAAAATAAGCTTACCTAAATTTGTCAAAGATACTTGTGCTAACAATGGCGACAGTCATCACTTAATTAGGAATGTAACTTTAACTAATTCAGTCGAAAAGCTATTACAGACGGAACTGCTCAATTAAAAATAAATTTTGATTGCACAAATGCGTTTCTGGAACTTGCTGGGTCCAGATCACGAAAAGCGAGCTACTGAAGATAGGATAAGTCCAATTGATTAAAAATACATTTGGCAAAAAAGTGGTCAAGTAAAAGGCAATGAAATATTTCACTTAATTAGACTAGTAAACCTACTTAAACGTAAAACGCAGAAGTGGGTTGTTGAGATAAAACTTGAATTTTATAAAAGGTGTGTTACGAACAAAGGCTTGCGTTGTGAAAAAGTAAACGCCATAAAACATTACCTCGTTAACGTTTTTCCCAGTCGTCAATTATCAAATCAAGTGTTGCACTGAAGATTTATTCTCATTCAAACAAATTTTACCCCAGCGATCGACGGTTTTGCTTGGACAAGTGTTAGCGCGCGCCCAGGAAAATAAATTTTCTGATTGGTCGAGCCGACTTCTAAGGAGGAATTTGGTTAGAGGTTCACTCTCCCGCGAGTAGGTTTAAGCAGTCATACATATGCACACATACATGCTCTTACAGTTGCATACAGCACAAAACAGCTAACAATGAAATTCGCCCAAATTATTTCGATTGTGCAGCTTTTTTGTGACACTCAGGGTGGGTGGGTGGGTAAAAGTGCATGAGGTCGTCAGCGATTTGTTTAAGAGCAACGACAGTGGGTGTGATAAAACCTGACTGTAAATTTAAACTATGGGCGGTTCGCATGAATGAAATTCTATTTTACAAATATTAAAAAAATACCATACACAAGAAGAACATAAGTCTTGTCTGTAAATACCCAAGAACTGGACTTGCTTCGAGTGCAAAAATTATTTTCGAGAATAAAGCCGAGTTCCTCTGATTGCGGGATTTGAGTTTTAAAACTTGTGTTTAAACCACTGTCATCTTAAAAAAACGCTACCTTTACGACGAAAATGCAGGGAACCAATCTGGTTCAGCCAATAAAAATTCATTTTCTATACAAAATTCTGGTTGATGAGCCTATCACTTGCCATACAGTGAAATACAGCAAAACTTAAATACTGTTTAGCCACTACGGAGCCTAAAAACGCTTCCCAAGCCCTAATGGGACTCAGTTTATGCCTTTGAATGAGTTCTGGAAGGAAACGTGGATTCTCCGAATACACATTTCATTAAAAAAAAGTTCACTTACGTGGATCACAAATAAAAGAAGTCGAATTCCATCCGCCAAGAGCGGTTTCAGGTAGATTGCAAATATTTTTACAACAACATTTATATCCAGTAAAGTGCACTTAAATAAATCTGTCAGCATGAACAATTCGACAAAAACCGATGAATTAAGACAAAATACGCTTATTTTCACACACCTGAAGGCTGACGTGAATTAATTCTACAGGCCGTCGACACCACCAATTATTAAAGTGAGTCACAACAAACTGGCCAAGGACGCTCGCGTTGCAATACGCGTGTACGCAATAAAATAGGCTAACCAATGAGAATTCACCCCGCGGAGGCATGACTCACGAGCATTCCATAGAGGCCTTTGTCAAAAATTAAGTAGCCATTATCTATGTTCAAGTGATTCACTGAGTTGCCAATCCATGATAAACCATGAACCGTAGAGGTCGTGCCTGTGGATTGTAAAAGTGGCCAAACGACGCCAGTGTGAACACCATTGAGTTGGTGGAACACGACCAGTTTCAGGGGCAATCGATAGGACGGGATTGTACCCAAGGCTTCTGTTTCGAAAATATCACGCGTGAATGAATCAAAGCACGTAAATAACTATTTTGGTAATAATGAAGAAAAAATCGGATTCGTACGCGCATAATTTCTTCACATACCAAACTGAAAATGGAGAAAATTTTGACCAATCAGAAACTCGTATTTTGTGAACAAACAGCGCATTAAGGCAAACCGCATGTGTCGAGTAAGTCTCAAGTTACACGCAGTGAAAGTAAATCAATTGGCAATAGTAGGTTTTTGTAAAGAGGCTCGAAATAAAAACGCCCGTTCCGCAAGACCTATCTTAGGTAGTAATGAAGACAGGCAACTAGAGCTGGAACATTGCATTTACGAAAAGTAAAATAATGTTTTTCACGGAAATGGAACAACACATAAGTCGAAATCGAACAGTTTCTGCATAATCACCTGACAAAAATGACGTCAGCAATAGTGCCGAAATAGTACATTCATATTTTACGTCAAGGACAAAAAATGCACTAGTTCACCAGGCAACCCGACTTAGCAAATACATAAGGAATTGCCAGAAAATGAGAAAAGGTGAAGCCACGGCTGAGGACTCGCTTACATGTAAATATTGCATTGGATAACAAAAGAAATCTGGGTGTAGATGAAAGACCAAATATGTAGGCGACGCGAACGTCACCGAATGGAGTACTCGGTACCCAATGCCCACTAATTGACCAAAATTTCGTTGGGACTGCTGCCAAATCACCAAGTCCGAGATGCGCCTACACACTGGGACTGAAAGTACGAACCACATTTCTTAACAGCATGGGCAGGTAAAACTGTTTTTATAAATAAACAGTGCTCGATGTACCACCTCAAGCGAAATTCAAATTAGATATTTAGACAGATCACCTGCAGCAGAGATAAAAAAAACAAGACTCGCAGCAACTACGAGCAGCAGCAAACACACCAGACACCAGGTCACAGACATCATATCCGACACACTTCAGCCACCTGTTGTCATGGTTATTTCCTGAGAGACACTTCAGAGCAGGTTGACATCACTCACCGACCACACGTAACTGTCCGCCCCCAACATGCACCTGCACATGTGTCCCCAAACAAAGCACCGCCTTCGATTCGCTTCCCGTGAAAGCCATGCTCCAGGGCGCGCCATGACAACCCGCGTACATCGCCTGGAGAAGGTCGTCGTTGTGGCCACCATGGTCAGGGAATCACAGCGCCAATTGCGCGCAGCTGGCTTCTACCATTCGAAATGCGACAGAAAACACGTCACATTGCATGGGCTACAACTCACGACACCACTTACTGGTCACGCTGGTGGAGATTGCATCCAAGGGTATTCTTCTTCAAAAAAAAAGAAGACGAAATACCCGAATCGACGTGGTGCGCACTCTGTGGCTTTAGCACCAAACCTTCTCTACCACGTTAGGCTCGGTTGTCCCGAGTTCGGTGCAAATAACTCCTGGCCACAATTTACACGGAGTTGACTCCATCCGAATAACCGCAGATTGTGCGCTCATGAGGCACTTGACACATGTTACAGCACAATCATTTGCCTTGACAGAGTTGCATCCACAAACCAATCAGCATTACTAACAACCACGTTCTTCCAGTTGATTGCTTGAGTCTACCAACTAATCACTAGGATTTGGTGGGATTTCTAAGAAACCCTCTGGAATACGCCTCCCACATGCTTGTTTTCACAAACCTCCGAAACCCCGAACACAAATGAACCAAACTCATCAAGAAGAAGGCTACGCTTAACAAGCTGAATGATGTACAACTGGGAGATACGTAGTTTCCATCCGACACTGTGCAGGGCACCTTTGCTCGCCAGGTCACGCAGCTGCCCTGGCAAGTAAGTGATGTTTGGGGACAATGGAAGCACAGCCCACCAACAAAATGCACATTTTAACTGGAACAACCCAGACGAATTCGAGCCAGGGTGTTCTGTGAGCTTGACTGTTTAGGTGGACATTCACAGTGGTGAGTTGCCTTCTTACTTAGACCCTTCCATGCTGCGTTGCTCAAGACCCAGCAGCCAGTTTTCTGCATGACTGATGACCGGGGTCGTTGTCGGCACTCGAGGTGGTACTGGCGCACAAAGCAGAATGCGTAAGCCCAGAATGACTTGGCACCAGTTAGTCGTCGTCTATGGAAGATGTCAAATCGCAGATTCTGTGGATCGCCGCATTGCCAATGCCTTCTATTTTACCAGTGTGAGTGCACCTGGACTGCTGCTAACATTATTGCGTGTTACAATTTCCAATTATGCTACTTACTTTGCCTTACACCACTGAGTTTGAGCAATAGTAAATTTGGTTACCGGGTTTCTAACGTCTTTGGGCAAATTCAGGTTGACGGTGTAGCGTGCTGCGTGACTCACAAACTGTGGCAAAGAGTGAGGTAAATTCAACACATGTAGATTAAGATAGAACTCGGGTGCAAACTAGGACCAAAACACTAGGACAGTTCGAGCTAGATTTTGGCCTTAATGGACGCACCTGAAGGTTTAATAAGGGAAACCTCCACTACTGAGAAAAGCGTCATCGCGAAATGGGAAAAATGGTGGCACATTTATCAGCCGAGATTCAGTTTTAGGCAGAGGAATATAGGGGCGTTTTTTTAAAAAAAAACATCCCTCTCAAACTAATTTAGAAGATATGGCTTCAAAATCGGGATATCACGAACGTGGACACAACGGCAGAGGCTTGGGCTTAGTCAATTCAGAAGCCGCATTTCACCACTCCCCATATACCGACCATAATGGAGTGTCTGTGTGTGAACGAATAATAGTTGTTAAACTAGCTGAGCCTTGTTTTGGTGAAAGCGGTAAGAATTTATGCGGCAGGGATACATACACACCGTAATTTATTAAACCAATCATGTGCAAGGTTTATTCAGCAGGTAAAACGGACAGAAGAGAGCCTTCCTCGATAATGGATTCAGGTCACCCCATGAAGCATCATCATCCTCCACTGGAGGCATTAACAGATGCCTGTCTGTTGAGGTCATCTTTAGTCAGCCAAATGAATGGAAAAGTAAATTCCTCAATCTCTACCTGGGGTTAATTTTAGGCAAAATAAACACTCACAACACCCAGTTTTAATGGCTGCATGGTGGGCATTTTCTCCCACGAAGACACTGCTCCCCTAGTCTACAAATGTGGCTGTCTGACGAGGCAACATCTGGAGAATACGACGGGTGCGGCGGGCTTTCCCAGACCAAATCCTCGACTTTTCCCAAGCAGTCCTCGCGCTATCGCACCGGATAATGACGACATCTTACTTAACCAGACAGAAGTTGTCGGGGTTAAAAATGACGGTTTGTTTACCGACCAGTGCAGAATTTAATTCGTCAGATGTGCTCAAGTTGTGTGGAACCCCACCCGCACTGACATCAGCCGCT